TTTAAAGTTATTAACATTTTGAAGATTAAAAAAAAGATGAGTGAAGTTAAGGAAAAGCATGCTGTCAACTATGGGGCAGGCTTTCCACTCACAGGGTTAGTCAGTGATGGGGACCCTCTAACTCTGTTGTTCTCTGATGGAGTTGTGTGCTCTGTGTACCCAGAAGGCTGGCTGCCCCAGCGCAAAGCTGCTCAGCATCTTCATGGGATGAAGCTCATAGTGAAAACGCTGGAAACTGCCTTCTGTCTTTTGGAGGTACAAGTCAAATTGCTGCTGGTCACTTTCTCAGGGCAGCGTTAACGGTGTCTCTCCAGCTTTTCCAGGCTCCCAGGGGACTGTGGTAATGCTTCCAGTCCAGCTACTCTGAGCAGCGATAAACTTGGACCAAGTGAGCCATAATGACAGTCCGGGAACCAGAGGAGTGCTGACTGTCCTCCTGGAGGGGAGGGTCTGGCCTTCTGTCTTCACCGCTTGAGCTGCCAAACCTGTCCTGACCTCCCTGCCCACTCTGGGCAGCCTATGCCTCCACATCACCTGGTCACTCTCACGCAGTCCCTGTTTCATACAATGATTTCAGTCCGTCATTTCCTTCTGCTGTGGGTTTTTTTTTTCCCTCTAACAAGGAATTGGAATACTGTGAAACATTTATAGACATCTGAGAGTCATGCACAGTGCAGTTGGCTATATTTCAAACCTCCAACTTGGAGCAGGTCACCCCAAGCTGCCAGCTGATGTGAGGCCATAGCTGGCCCCAGCTCATTGCTGTATTTCATTTCCTGAGAGCACTGACATTGCGCTGCGTTGCTGGTGTCTGGCCTGGATCTCTGCAATTCCAGCTGGAGTGGGGAAGAGCGCAGGGAGATGGATGGAGAGGGCTTTTCAGGTTAAGGCTCTGTTACCGTTCCATTCCCAGCTTGTGATTGACAGATACTTATTGCTCACACCTCCCAAGGGGGTGACTTCTGAGCAGGGAATGATTGTAGAAGACACTGTACTCTGAATGAAATTTTAGGAGCCATGGTTACCCACTGCTGTCGCTGTGATTACTGGCGGTCAGTGCTGAGCTATTGACAGCCCAGCTGCACGGGGGCTGCCCGGTGCCCGTGCCAGCGGTGTCAGTACCCGTCACTGGTGCGAGGCAGAGCTGGGCGTCTGCCCCTGCCCTTATTTCGACCAAGGGCAGCAAGCTGCAGTAGTGCTTGTGTGCAGGAATGCGTGTTAAATCTGACAGTGGCCAGAGAGAAACTAGGCACCTAGCCCACAGCTGATGAAGTCATGGTCTCAAATTAGTGAATTCAGCCAAGCTGGTGGATGAATATGGATTTATAGGACCTAAGAATCTGGTCACACACATCTGGCAGAGACGGCGCAAGGTTCTTGCTCAGCCGTGACTTCCAGCTGCACTGGGAACAATGGAAACACCAATTATTGCTCCGTGCATTTTGCTCTGGCAACGAGTAGAAGCACAAACTGCAAAGTAGCACAGAAAAGGTACAAAACCTCTGAACCTTCATCCAAACAAACTGTCAAGGCAATGTGCTGGTTCTGTGGCTCCCCTGCCCAGAAGAGGCTGGAGCTATGTGCGTGGAGGTGGTGGTGAGGAGGCATGGGGGCTGTGGAGGGACCACCTTTATCATGCCTCCAAAAATGGAAGTGCAAGGGGCTGAGCAGCTTCCATTTGTACTTCCCGGCTGCTGCAGGCATTTGGGAAGGGGCTTTTGCATGTGATGGTTGAGTGTGCTGAAAACCAGCAACTGGCAATAGGAGTGTACCTAATCATTCACCAGTAGCACTTCTGGCTCCTCCAAAAGAAATGGAGCTGGCACCTGTTAGGAAAGCACATCTTGCATCTGAAAAAAGTTATCACATCGTTTCTCCCAAAGTTGTTTTTAATTTTGAGAGTTAAATGCTTCTCTTTGCAGGGGGCCCACCCTGCAGGGCTGGGTCCTTGCTGTCCAGCCATCTGCATGCAGCCTCCAGGACAGACGGGTCCTGTTTTGACAAGTGCCTCTCTGTGACATTTTCTTGAGGAAAAAACATTTGCGAAGAGCCTGGAGCCCGTTGCTCAGAGGAGGGCAGTATAAAAATACTAGAAAAGGACGTGAAGCGAGTGTGGGGCTATCATGGCAAGTGGTAAGAGGGGTTTTGGGAACTTGCCTTGCACTTGTGCTGGGAAAGAGCATGGTGCATCTTGTTGGCAGGACAAGCATGCTGGTTGCCTTCCTTTGGCAGTGTCAGGTAGACTTCAAACAGTCTGCAACGCATTTCAGCCTGAAATACGGCAAATGATTGGTGCCTTAACAGTGCTTGTTTTTTCTGGCTGTAAAGGCACACCTAAGGGTGGGTTCATTAATGATCCCACCCCTGTGCTGTCGGGGGCAGGGGGAAAGGGCTGTCTTGTGTAGGGGTTTAGTGTTAGGTGGGCCCTGTATGTGTCTGTAACTCAGGGCTCCAGGACTCAGGCTCCTACCATGTGGATTTTTCCAGTGAGGAGAAATAGCCTATCTTAAAGCCTTAGCAAACCAGGCTTAAAACCTTAGCAAACGCTAAGGTTTCTTTCCACGCTTCTGTGCTGTGGAAAAGACAATGGTAATTTCCATCTGGCTTATATATAGATATAGATATATATATATATATATATCACAGCATTTGTAACTGTGAGGCTTGCTGCTGGGAGGAGTTGAAATATCAATGCTGTTCTTCAAACACCTGAAATGTTATCATTACCACTGCATTGTGTGTCACATTAATGCTATGAAACGCAGGTTTCATAGCATTGGCTCAGACTTAAGGGACCAGGCACGACACCTTTGCTGAGATCCCTTGCATGTGCAGAGGGACCAAAGCCAGGCTGCTTCCCCTCAATGCGCTGGCGGCCACCAGCTGTGGTCTGTCCACCTGCAAAGCAGGTAACCTTGTGGGGACCTGGCTGGTTTGCAAGGCTGAGCACCCTTTTTCAGAGGAGCAGTGCGGGAATGAATCCCTTGGGCACTGGGTACTTCCTGGTGTCAACGTGGCATGTATAGGGGAAACAAATATTTAGGAGGTAAGGTTTTTCCTTTCTTTTGCAGTTGAAAACACAGCACTACGTTGTAGTTCCTGTCACCACTAAATGCTCGGCAAAAGGATCTGGATCTGAGCATAAGGCAGGAGCTGGTGTTGAGTGTGTGCAAAAGGGCCAAGGACGTGTGCCTCGAGTTCTGCCGCCATCCTGGTCTCTCCTGCTCCAGTTTGTTCCTCTCCTTTTCCTTTTGTCAAAACCCATAGGTATAATAAGGAGAGAAGTGCACCAGCAATATAAGTACTACAAAAATACCTCGAACTGGAAAAAAAGAGGGAATGGTGGGTTTTTTGGAACAATATTAATTTCTTGAGTTTTTGCTGCTGAGATATCTCAGTTGGAGGAGGAGACAGCTGTTATGTGCCTCCACCGTCAGCTTGCTCTCTTCAGTGCCAACTTCTATCTTGGTTTTGGCATCTCTAATCCCTCCTGCTGTCTGTGCTCATATCTTTTCTCTGTCCTCATGAAAACTACGCAGTCCAACTTGTCAAACAGAAAAGTGTCATCCCTGCATCTTTTTACCAGCCCTGCCAGTCCTCTCATCTCTGACTCAGCCACCTCCTCCTCAGTAACCTGGGCGTGCCAGCTTTAGCCTGGCTAGGTTTCCCCCATATATCCTGCCCCGCTGCTTCCCATCCTGTCCATCTCCAGGGATTGAGCATCTCATGAGAGTAGGGCTTGGGGAAATGCACAGTGGCATTTAAAACACTGGTCAGATAGCCACTTTCCCCACCCTCAGTATTTCTCACCTCTGGTGTAATAACAATAATAAAAAATATTATTGGATTTTTATTTTTATTTTTAGGGGTTCTTTTAAAGGCTTATAGCAAAGTTAGAGTGTGTGGGCTGGGGTTACTTTTCCTTGCAAAACAAAGGCAGAACTGCATGAGCACTCTGGCTGATACTGTGGGATGCTCTCTGGAAGGGATTTAGGGGGCAGATCTTGGTATTTTGACCCTCGGCTATTGGAGATTGCAGGGACTTGGGGTCAGGTCAGGGTGCTAGCAGCGAGCACTGTTGAGTGCATTGGTGCCACAGGTGTTTCAGGGCCACTGTAGTGGAAGGAGGTGACCTCACGGCAGGTGGTTGGTGGGGCAGCGAGTGACCTGCGTTAGACAAAAGCCGAGTATGCAGTTTGGTGTTTATCCCCTTCTCGCAAAGCAGGGCTTGGACACGAGGCAGCACCAGGTCTTTGGGGGCTGAGTTAAATGCAGGTTTGATGTAAAAAAAAGCAAAACAACAAAACATGATAATTGTTGGAGGTGCCTAAAAAAGGCTGGCAACGTGAACTCATATCTGGCTGGGGACAGGGGTATAATTTTGTCGCAGGTCAAGAAGAAAATACGTCCCACAGTATCTGTGGCAGGGGTTGGGTAGGAAAGAAGAGGGAAAAGATCTGCTAAAGGGGAGGATGTGTGTGAGGGTGAGCAGCTTGATGGTGCCCATTTCAAGCCCAAGGGGCTGTGGGGAGAGCAGCAGGGCTGGGGCGGCACCAGGGCCTCTCTGCATGGAGCACAGGAGAAAGGAGAGAAAAGATGCTCGCCGCACTCAGCGCCTGCATGGCCCATGCACAGCCCTCCCAGGGCAGACATACAGGTCTGCTGGCCCGTAATGGTGGGGGTAAAAGGCAGGAGATTTTGGAAGATGCAATTCAGCAGGCACCCACAACAGCAGACTGACATGTCTGGTTTCACAAGACACTCTGTTGGGCCACGGTGGGGGTCACAGCACCGGGGCGTGCTTTGTGGATGGTGTTGTCTGTGGATAATACATCCCAGACAAATTCAGATAATCTGCAGTTTACAGAGCCCTGGCTCAATCCTGACCCAGCTCGAAGTTTCCTTAAGTCACTTATTTTGCAGTGCTAGTGTCTCCTCGAACGCCTGCAAACCTGCAGCCCTTGCCATATCCCCTGGGCTGGTGCCCCCACCTCTGGAATTTGAGTTCCTGTACCAAGGGTCCATTGCAGGCGACTGCTTTGCCAGGGCTGTACAGCAGGGCAGACTGGGAGCTGTTTGCTGCTAAAGGTGAACCATGTTTCACAGGCTTCCTCTGCCATGGAGGCTCCCCAGAATGGGACTCTGCTGTCTGAAAGCCTCTTTCTTCTACCTAGAGCAGCGGAAACACTTCCTTCCTCTCGGAGAGGACATGCAAACACTCCTCACAGAGCATCATTTATGCTCTCCCCCCGCAATGAAACACCCGTAGGCACCCTCCTCCTGACACCCTCACAGATGATGGCCATGCACATCATCTGCAGCTTGGCTGTGGGGAGAGCCCAGCTTGCAGAGCAGAGATGCACAGCCTACTTCAAAGTAACCTATTTGTACTGTGGTGTGTTTTTATTAGCAAGCAGGGGTGTTGCTGGCACGGAGGATTTAGTAATGTCCAAATACAGGCAAGGAAGCTACCTTGCTTCCACCCAGGCTGGGACAGAGGGAAAAGCCAGGCTTTTCAATGTTCTGCCCCAGACTGGGGTGTGCTGGTCCTGTCCTAACCCGTGCGGGCAGAGCAGTGCGGTTGGACTATTTCAGGGCATGTGTGTGTGCACATGTGGAGGTTTGCAAACTGCCTCTCGTGTTACCTGAGAGCAAGTAGGGGTGACCTGTGCTGCTGGCTTATTGCATTGTTTGGAGTAAATAATCCATTCTGCACCAAGAAACACTGGGGTATATGTGGTGCATGTGTATGTACTCACATATATGATTGCATGTACATGCCCATCTGCACGTGTTCTTGTCCGTGTTTTCCGGAGTTTTCATCCCCCGGCCAGCAGCTGGAAGAAGTGCTGGGGCTGGGATCATCCCTGCGCACCTCCATTTAATGTTTCCTTCCTCCCTTCTGTAAGTGTGTGTGGGGGTATGAAAATAGCCATGTCCTCTCCTTCTAGCAAGGTGTTTTGTGCTCCTGCCCTGAGGCGGAGGGAAAGGCTGAGTCCTGGCAGGGGAACGGTCCCGTGTGGGTTTCAGCACACTGGTCCATGGCACGGGGCAAACGCCGCTCCCAAGTGCACCCCATAGGAGTATGCCATCCCTGGGATGGGGCCTGGCGCTTGGCGTGGGCGATTCCGTAGTTGTTTGTGTGTGTCACGGCGGGAAGTGTGTGAATGGAATAAATTTAGCAGTCAAAACACGGGGCCAGCACAGTCAGTCATTAACCGACAGCCCATCTCGTCATCCTGCAACCACAAGGAGCTTTTTTAGGGCCGGCGTCCCAGTGGAGGCCAGAGGAAGCGTGGGAGGCCAGTTCCCGGTGACACCTCCGCGCACGGCAGCGCTGCCCGCCGGTGCCATTGGCTGCCCCCTGCCCGGGGCCGGCACCGGCCAGCAGTTAAATGCCCGTGCCACCACGCCAGGGCACACAGCCCGGGGCATCTCAGCACAGGCAGCCAGCTTGCCCCATACTGACCACCAGAGGAGACACCAGCTTGCACCATGCCTCAAGGTAAAGGTCTTAGTTTCTTTGGGTTGCTTTGGCATTGCCTGGAGTGAAAATGGCAACATCTGGGATGGGGGTAGAAAGCAGGAGACACGTGTAAGCTGGGATGTAGGTGTTGCTTCGTAAGGGAAGAAATCAGGACCATGGCTCTTTGCTCCAGCATGTTTTGGGTGCAGGGTGATGTGCAGTCAGCATGCCCTGTGGGGATGCAGTGCTGGGCTGCTTAAGGGGCTTGGAAAATGAGAGCAAAGCTGGAAGAAAGCCCCCCGCTGCTTCACCTGCCTGTGCAGGCAGCAGCGCTGCTGGGATTCCAGACCAACCCGCTGGGGATCTGACTCTCTGCAGGGTTATCTTACCAGGGTGCTCTCCTTTGGGCAGGAGGTTTTATGGGGTGGGGACCACACCAGGTGGGATGTGCAGCTTTGCAGCCCATGGTCTCATGGTGCTGCCCATCTGTGGTGTTGGCTGCCATCATGGCCACTGAGCTTGGCTGGGTGGTGGGTGACATTACCATGGAAACAGGGAATTTGGAGGAGCTTTCCCACTCTTTAATGATGCTTAGACAAAAAATCTGCAAGAACATGGTCAGGGATTTCAAATCCCAAACTAAAGTGAGGTTCCTGCACAGAAGGTGCCGGGAGGGGTCACAAGTCCTTGGCTTGTTTGATGACATGCTAGGCTGAGCAACACGTACTGGGATGGCAAGGCTGTATCAGTTGGGAGGACTTTGTGGGACCAAGTTATAGACAGGGGCACATGCAAATACTTTGTTCCTTGTTGCAGCCACAGGGACCACAACTGACATGAGGGCTGCGTTCCTGGTGCTGCTCCTCTGGGCTGTCGCCTGCGCTTATCCCGTAAGTACCCACTGAACAGGTACTCAAACCCCAAACCCCAGCAGTTTCGCCCAGCCAAGGCGCACCGATCACTGATCAGATGTCTCCTGGATGTGTTTAGGTGCCCGGCCACGAGTCCGCCCACCCCCACCACAGTGCCCAGCAGGAGGTAAGCTGGGGGGTGCCCCAGACCCGCAGGTGGCAGCCGCCCATGGAAGGAAGTCTGGGATGGGGACCCACCCCTGGGCAGGCATCCTTGGACCAGGCACCTGAGGAAAGAGCTGCCACTTCTGCGGGTCTTTGAGCTTTGCCTGTCTACTCAGGCTTTCAAGCTGTATTGGTTTGATCTCATTTTGCCTTGCCTTCCTGTGCACGTTCCCAATTCACCTGATGCATTCTGCTGTGTTGGTCCTTAAAAAGCAATTTCTGTACTCTGAACCATCACAGTTTGGGCTTTTCTGGGTTGCCTTTTTGTTGATGGCTACTTCTTTTTATTTTGCATCAGCAGAATTGACTGAAGGGCCGAGGTGTGAGCAATTAAAAAGACTTGAGCATTTGCATGGCTTAGGAGCAATATATCACCCTGCAGCAGTAGCCGTGAACTTGCAGTGCTGTTTAATAAACCAAGGCACTGTGTCATGTTTTGCCTCCAGGACACAGAAAATGAAGATTACATCAGCAAGCTGGGCAACCTCCTGGGTGGTGGAGATGGCAGACTTCATCCTGCCAGTGTGGAGAGGGGGGAAAATGCCCTTGCCAGGGACCCAGTGGGTCGGAACGCCGTGGGCAAGGAGCTGAGTGAGCACGGTGGCCAAGACAAGGGAGGAAGAGTTGGGGAAGCTCAGCACCTGAACTGGGTGGACCACAAGGACAAGAGTACCCAGGATGGGAACAGCCTTGGTTTCCTGGTGAGTAAGTGGAGAGGAGTGTTTTACTTTGCCAGGGAAGTGCACTTAGCCCCAGATCTGGTGTCAGTCGGGGTAGCGCTTGGCCTGATAGCACCTGTGAACCTGCCATTGCATTTGTCTCCATTTGTCACCTCCATAGGAGGAAGATGCACATGATGCTCATGATGGTGACAACAGAGAGAACCTTGGCACTGGAATCAATGGACTTCCCTCCCATGCTGGCGGGCTCCTGGACGAGGAGGACGACAGTGGGGACGACACCTTCAACCAGCACGGGGAAGAAGAGGGAGGTGAAGGTCCTACTTACGTGGCTGGTGCTGATGGGGCAGGTGAACGCAGCCATGATGTCGGCCGTGGAGATGCCAGGGCTGGTGGAGGGCATGGCGACAGCAGCAGCAGTAGCAGCAGTGAGAGCATCGGGGCAGACCACCGCCAGTACAGGAACTACCTTGGCAGCCGGTATGAGCAGACCTACAGGTGGGGAGGGGGTAGCAGCAGCAGCCAAGAGGAGGAGGAGAGCTACAACTTTGAGGATGAAGCCATGCAGGGCGATGATCCCTCTGTCTTTGACAGCCCAGGCAGCAGCTACAAGGGGCGCCGTGCTGGCCCTCGTGCCCCAGCGAGCAGCCGAGAGAATAGCTGGGGGGCTGGCTCCCACCACTGGGAAGAGGGTGACAGCAGGTCCCCGGAGGTGGAGGACGCTGACTCAGGAGAAGACAGCCCATCCACAGAGGATGACAGTCAGTCGGAAGAGCCTATCGCCAGCAAGTCAGAGGAAAACAGTGCCAGCCGCTCTAGGGAGGATGGGGATGGTGAGGACAGCCCCTCCAGGGAGGGAGAGGGCAGTGAGTCCAGGGAGGGCACTGTTGACCAGTCAGATGAAGAGCTGGGGGAATCCCCAGAAGATAGGTCCCATGAGGTGGTGAGCACATCGAGTGAGCGCAGCGGCACCTGGTCTCGGGAAGGGCAGGAGGACCAGGAGTCTCCTGAGGACAGGAGTGCTCCATCTGTGCCTGACAGTGAGTCTGGTGAAGACGAGGGCGACCAGAGCAAGTCCAGGGAAGATGATGATGACCAGAGCCAGTCCACAGAGGACACTGTGGAGGAGTCAAAGGAGGATGAGAATGACTCCAACCCTGATGGGGATGTGCCAAGCACATCAGCCGAGAGCCAGAGCGCATCCCCAGAGGATGGTGGCAGCCAAGAGGACAGTGTAGATGAGGACAGCAGGTCCACAGAGAGCAACAACAGCGAGTCCCCGGAAGACAACGATGATGAGGAGAGCCAATCCCAGGAGGATGCCACCCATGAGTCCAGCAGCCGTGGGGACAACAGTTCGCTGCAGAGCCTGGAGAGAGAGAGCCGCAAACGGCATCCGGGCGCCTACCGCAACAAGCCTGCTGCTGACTACGATGACAACGATTGTCAGGATGGGTACTGATGCATGCCCCACAGCCTTGTCGGTGCTGGGGGGCATGGAGGGAGGAGGGGTTTAATTTATTTGCTATGTAGCCTGGTTGACTTCTTCCTGAGAAGGTGCTGTGGATAAAATGGAGGCAGGTACGCCAAGGCACACTACACAGGGCATGATGGCAGACACAGGGAAAAACGCCAAACCCCAGAGAGAAAAGGCACTTCCCATACCAAAGCAGAGAGCAGCTGAGAGCTGCAGGAGCCAGCAGGGTGATGCTGCCCACTGGCCTCAAGGGCACTGTGTTGGCTCGGCACTCTGGGAGCTGCGCCTGGGCATGGTGGGCAGAAAGGTCCCTGTGTTCATCCCTTGTATTTACCTACCACTGCCCCAAAATTGTCTGCCCAGACTCCAATGGGAGCTTTCCGTTAGCTCCACATCCTGCACATAAGGAGGAAAAGCTACAGCTGGTGTGCACACGCTGTGCGTGGGCTCAGCGGTGCGTGAAGTACCACTTCATATGGGATGTATGTAATATTTTGTAAGAAATGTACAGAAAGCATTATGTTGTATCCTTTTTGCACTTATATTTCAAAGCTGAAATGTACCCTGTTGATTTCTTTAATTACCATTAAAACCATCAAACTCCACAGTGGGTTTTTCTTTCCCGGGGCAGTTGGGTGCTGTGGTTTGGGGTTGGACCAGAGCAGTGGGGGAGCAAAGAGCAGGCTGTTTGCATGGGGAGCTGCAGCGTGGTGAGAGGGAAAGCAGAGGCTGAGGGGTGTTCCTACCCCCCTATTTCCAGGCACCCCAAGGGCCACCTCTGCCCCTAGGTGACCTAAATGTGGGGTGAAAAAGCTGGCTCATGAGTGAGCTGGGCCTGGAGCTTTGCTATATTATAGCCATCACCTGCTGCAGTGAGCAAGGGTTGTTATGCTCTTCCTGAAGCTCTGGGAAGGAGATACCTCAGGACACGGAGGCTTTTCTGGACTGCTGTTTCTGGGTGCCTATGGTGGCCCTTGGCAGAAGATCCCCTGCAGCAGAGATGCAGATGAGCAGGGGTTATCATGGGCTGTTAGATCATAGGTGAAGCCTCTTTTACTAAGTGTATCTTTTATTACTTTTCTCCTAGGAGCAAGCAAGAAAACAACGCATTATTTGTTTAAAATCCCATCCAGGCCCTTCTTACTTGTTCACATGTGTGTGACAAGCTGTACAGCATGGGTATTGATGCTGGCAGAGGAAGCTGCGAGCTGTTGTGTAGCTGCACAGTTTTACAGCATGGAGTTAAGGCTTTGCAGGGGACAGTCTCCAAAGGGTCGGTGTGAGTGGGTGCATGCCTTTCATCTGTCTTGGGTCAGTGGTGTCATTGCAATACTGAATTCAAGAATCACTAAAGAAATTAAATAGTTTTTTACCACTTATAGTGAAACTGCACTTAATTTGTAGACTCTTTCCATCGCTACAAAAAATGGGGGTGGAGCAGCTCCTGGGTTTTGTGGAATTTATGTTTTAATTTCCATCCTGCCTAGGCTTTTTCCACTTCTGTATGAGATCATCTCTGAAAAGTACAGCTTCCCCACGCTGCTGCCCTGGGAATGAGCCTCTTTCCTGGCCCTGCCTCCTCTGCCCCACTGGTCTCCACTTTGCAGTGGATACTTCAGTTGTGAGGTTGTGATTTGTCTCTTGTTTCTTGGACTCCTTGCATTAGCTTGGGGGATGCTGTGGCAGCGGTGATGCCAGCCAGGGTCGCAGGTACCAAAATGCTGGTGCACAGCCCCATCACTGGGGTGAAAGACAGCAAGCATGGGTTTGGCTATAGCCCAGAGGTGCAAAAAGGGCTCGGTGACAGCTGTCGCTTTGGTTTGAAATTGTAGTAAGGATGTGTTTGCGGCTGCTCGGCGCGGCAGCACAGAGTCGGGCGCTGCTGTGAACCCTCCTGCCTCCAGCAAGCGGTGCTGGTGCTCAGGCAGCGGGCACATTTCGGTGACAGCTCTGTTCACAGGGCCGCGTTGCATCCCCAGGCCCAGCAGGGGTGGTGTTTGAGTGGGGACAACTGGTGGGGATGGGGACCAGGAGGTTTTTTTTTTCAGGTCCCTCCAGGAAAGCAAGGGGTACTCTGCAGCTTTGTAGTGAGCCCAGCCCCATGAGTGGGATGGCTGAGTGTTACGGTTTGAGAAAACCCATAACAATCTATTGTCGTTTAGACAATTATTCTTTCACTCAATGACCCCTCCCCGTCCAGGAAGGGGAATTGGAGGACACAAAGAAACACAAGGGTTGAAATATAAATAGATTTAATAAACTAAGACTAAATAATTAACAATAATACTAAAGAACCCATATTAATCCTGATACTGATATAAGATATAGAAGGATTATACTCAGGCAATTCTACCAGCAGAAGCTGTACTCTCCCATCAGGGACAGCCAGTGTGGGACCCTGCGAGCGCTGCGGCTTGGGGAGGAAGGGAAGGGCTCAGGGCTCTGGCACCAGGACAAGGAGTTGTCTGGACCCACCACCATCAAGGGAGAGAGAGAGCTACGCAGCAAACTTTTCTAATTTATATTGAATGCGATGTTTGCCTGTTGTCCAGTCTGGGTCAAATGCCCAGGCCTTACTCCTCCTGGTCCCTGCACCTGGCAAGGCTTGAAAACACTGAGACCTCAAGTCCCACAGAGCCTGGCTGGCTATAAGATAAGTATTTTCACAAATTCAGACACTAGAGTCTTCTAGAAGTGCAATTTTCCCCAGCATTAGAAGAAAAGTTAGCCCTGTGTTGCTCAACCCAGGATACTGAGACATCGCAAAGGCAGGATGAAACGGGCTCCCTGAAACTGTTTTTTGCAGTTTGTGCGTGACCCTCTGTCCGTCCTTGTGTGAACAGAGCGGGGGCAAGAGGCAGCAGGGGGCTACTCGCAGTCAGCCCCCGGCAAAGGAGACGGCAAGCACATGTCCTCCTCTTGTTTCATGTGTGGAGAAAAAAACTGGGTTGATTTGGCTTTAGTTTGAGCAGGGGGTGAGTGTGCCTTGCAAAAGGGGCGTACAGCTCCCCGCTGCACCCTGCACGTGGGTCCCCTTCACATGACTTCCCAGGGGACACCCTGCGGTTGCACGCACGTCCCTGCCAGCAAGGCCCAAAATTTGCCTCCTGCTGCCTGGCTGCTCCCCAAAGGCCAGGGAGGTGGTGCCAGAGCTGACTGTTGCCTGCCAGTCCTGCTGGGACAGCTTCCCACCGGATTGTCTGTCCGGGCAACGCAGTAGGGGGGAACTCAGCCCTTCCGTGGGGAAACCTCTCACCTGGGTACAGGGAGGGAGCAACTCATGGTGGCCCTGTGCAGGGATGTGCCCAGCACCTGGCATCATATATCTGTAAGGATGGGCAGGTTTTTGGGGACAGTGGTGGCCTGGGCTGTCCCCATCAAATGCTGTTCACCTGTGTGCAAGCAGGGCTACCCTGCTTGCCCTCCAGAGGGTCTTGGAGGTGGTCAGAGCTTCGTGGGGTGAGGTTTTAAGTGGTCAGAGATAGCATGGACAAAAGGTGCTTGCTTTGAGGATTTTAAGGCATTTTTAGCAGCAGCTTGTGTTTGGTTTTTGCAGCACATGCCTGCGCGTGGTGAGCATCTAAGGGCAGTGCTCCTGATGGTGAGCATCTGAGGGCACTGCTGGCCGGCAGACAGGGAAAGCAGCTGGGAGGGTTGGCTGTGGGCTCTGCTATCGCTGGAGGTGTTCCTGCATCCCATTTTGGGCTGATTGTGTGATAAAGTTGTAAGGGTCAGCTTGCCTGGTAGGTTAGGCAAGGATAAAAAATGTCCACGTCAATGTATGTGTTTTTGTTTTCCACCCATATGGCATTTTTTGTGTGTTGGGGGTGGCCTCCAGAACTGAATGCAGTGATTTACCCAGGAATCAGCAACACCACTTAAAGCAGATATTTTTGGTCACATTTGAGTTTGTGAAAACATGAGTCTGCATCATCTTAAAAGAAAGGTTTCTTGTTTAATTTTTTGTTCTTTCCAAGAAGAAAAAAAAAATCTGTTTTTAATAAGTAGCTGTATGGCTGAAGCGGTGGAAGGCAGAAGCACTGAGTCCGGCTGCAGCAGCTGTACTTGGGCCAGCCACAGCACACAAGCTGCATTTATTCAACTCTCTTATTTCCTTGGTTTTTGTGGGAGAAACAGTGACCCTTATTTCACTGAATTTTCACTGAATTTTTTACAGTTGGAAGGGACCATAGAGATCATCTAGTCCAACTCCCCTGCTGAAGCAGGATTGCCTAGAGCTTGTCAGAGCATGTTACTCAGGAGCATCCAGGCGGGTCTTGAAAATCTCCAAAGAAGGGGACTCCACAACCTCCCTGGGCAGCCTGTTCCAGGGCTCTGCCACCCTCACTGTGAAGAAGTTTTTTGTCATATTTGAGTGGAACCTCTTATGTTCCAACTTGTGCCCATTGCCCCTCATCCTCTCACTGGGAACCACTGAGAAGAGTCTGGCTCCCTCCTCCTTCAACCTTCCCTTGAGATACTTGTCGGCATTGATAAGGTCTCCCCTCAGCCTTCTCTTCTCCAGACTAAAGAGTCCCAGCTTTCTTAGTCTTTCTTCATAAGGGAGATGCTCCAATCCTTGAAGCATCTCTGTTGCCCTTCGCTGGACTCGTTCTAGTAGTTCCCTGTCCCTCTTGAACTGGGGAGCCCAGAACTGGACGCAGGATTCCAGTTGTGGCCTCCCCAGTGCGGAGTAGAGGGGGAGAATGACTTCCCTTGACCTGCTGGCCACACTCTTCCCTATGCAGACCAAGATTCCATTGGCCTTCCTGGCCACAAGAGCACACTGCTTGCTCATTGTCATTTTGCTGTCCACCAGGACCCCTAGATCTTTCTCTTCAGAAGTTGTCTCCAGCAGGTCCATCCCTAACCTGTATTGGTGCCTGACATTCTTCTTCCCCAGGTGCAGGACCCTACACTTTTCCCTGTTGAACCTCATGAGGTTCTTCCTTGCCCAGCCCTCCAGCCTGTCCAAGTCTTGCTGGATGGCAGCACGGCCCTCTGGGGTGTCAGCCATCCCTCCCAGTTTGGTATCATCAGCAAACTTGCTGAGGATGCACTCTGTCCCCTCATCCAGGTCACTGATGAATATGTTGAACAGCACTGGACCAAGTATTGACCCCTGGGGGACACCACTGGTGACAGGCTTCCAACTTGAACCTGCTCCATTAATCATTACCCTTTGGGTCCTGTCACACAGCCAGTTCTCAATCCACCTCACTGTCCCCTCTTCCAGCCCATACCGCCTTAGTTTCCCAATGAGGATGTTATGGGAGACAGTGTCAAAAGCCTTGCTGAAATCAAGGTAGATGACATCTGCTGCCCTCTCCTCATCCCGCCAACCAGTTATAGCATCGTAGAAGGCTATCAGATTGGTCATACATGATTTACCCTTGGTAAACTCATGTTGCCCACTTCCAATAACCCCCTTGCTCTTCAACTTGTTTGGAGATGACATCTAGAATGAGTCTCTCCATCACCTTCCCAGGGACAGAGGTGAGACTAACTGGTCTGTAGTTCCCAGGGTCCTCCTTCTTGCCCTTTTTGTAGACTGGAGTGATGTTGGCCTTCCTCC